GATAAAAACACCTTTTGGAAAGGCAAGGCTATGTGAAATTGAATGGAAATGTCAGCTCTACTCATATGCTTGTATGAAAATTCAATCACCAGTCCTTCATTAGCTTAATCAAAATAGGCTGAATACATCTCATATTACTGATTTACTGTTAGTTTCTAAGCTCGGCTTATAAATGAAAAATGTATGAAATCTGATGGAAACTTAAAGTCTACTCTTATGATTGTGGGAAAATTCAGCTACAAATTCTTCATCAGATTAAACGGAATAGGGTGAACTCATCTCATCTATCGTCTACTAGATCGAAAATCCTTTCGACAGAGCCTCTGAGTCTGCCGGCCAAAACCTAATTCATGTTTATTGTGAGTCGTGAGAAAGTGAGCATATGCAAAAAAAAGTTGGCTTTCAAAGAATCTCTTGCCTCCTAATTGTTGAATATACTTCCGTTTCGAGTAAAGGTATTTGGTGAAGTGATTCTAAGCTAAATCCCACCAGAAGACGACGGCGGATTCCTTTTGACCAGCTGTTGATTGACTTCGCTGGAATATTCTTGTTGACGCTGTTATTGAGGCAATCTCCTTACATTTATCCTGATTCGTAGGAATGATACCCTGCTCTGATGATGTCCGTCACACGATGGACTAAAGCTTAACACGTTTTCACCGGAATCGAAGGAACTTGCTTTGAAGACAGCGTCAACAGGAATGTTCCGGTGAAGATAATCGACGGCTGATCAAGAGGACTTTGCCGTCGGCTTCTTGTGGGATTGACTTCGAATCTCTTCTCTAAACACTTTCATTCGAAATGGAAGTATACTCAGAAAGGTGGTAGTCTCAGTTCGTTGACCAGGATTTTCAAATGGCTTATGAAGTGGGTTAATTCAAAAAGTGAAATTGTTTTGACGACGATTGTTTGAGGTACCGTTTCCGGTGGCGGGTACGAGTCGTGCATCTGCTGTCGGGGTACCTAAGTGAAGTAGCCCTGGGCTTAGCAAAAAGGGTTTCATTTAGCATGTGTGCCACACCAGGCTTGGATGACTTGGCCACATCGAATTAACAAGAAGGGCAATACTCGAAAGCGAAATAGGCTTCTTTCAACCTCTATCGGCATAGCAACAATGTTGTGCAATCGAGGCAAATGAACAATGTATGTTTAGCATTAAAGCGAAGTCTACAAAATTTTAATCGAAGGTATGAAGACCAAGATGGTGTGGTCTTTTGTGTGGTCGCAGTCTCCTTTTGTTGTGTAGAAGTAGTTTGACCTTGTTTTCGCAACTTGGTCAAACTGGTAGGAAGACTTAGTGGAACGCACCTTGTTCGGAGTCCATTGTATGCAGCATCATTTCCAGAGTAGGACCGTTGATGTGGTACATTCCCAGACGTTTCGCCGGTCTTAGCACCGCACAACAACTCGTCAAATAGACAAGTGAAGCCGATACCTTGACCAAATGTGTGCTAAACTTAACCTAATTTGTGGGTTATGTGTGATTCGGTGGCTCTATGTTTGCTTGTGGACGCTAACTTGAAAAGTTGAAGTCCCTTTGGAGAGGCTGATTTATTGTGAGCGGATCACATAGCACCAGTTGAGGCAATGAAAGTTTGGATTTCACTGTTAAATGCACTTTTTGCATAATTCAGAAATCACTTCTAAGTTATGTTACTTGGTCTTTTTAATTTTATTCTACAAATAAATATATTCAATTACAAACTTTGAAATCCTACGCACAAATCAATCATGCTCTCAAGTAGATATGAAGACCAAAATGTTGTGGCCTCTGTTTTGGCCGCAGTCTTCTTTTGCTGTATGGGAATGGTTTTACCTCGTTTTCACAACTTGGTTGTGTCATATGATATGTGTTGTCAGAGCAACTTAGTGTGATGTCATTGAGGTTCACCAGCCTTGGGACCCAACTACAACCCGTCTTGATCAGCTTTCTGTATAGCCGTTGGCTTATCACTACTTTAGACGAGTCGGATAGAAGCAAGTTAAAAGTTGGGATAACGAGGGAGGATGATACGAGGATAGACGTACCAAGACAGAAAGCGGAGTGATAACGCAACCGTTCGACAGACAAATGGTAGTTTGTCACTTTTACAAATTGTGGTTTGGTGTCAGTGCTGGCAAGATTCAATGACGATGCCGGTGAAACGTCTGGAAATGTACCAAGTCCATAGTCTGACGCTGGGAAATGTCATAGCTACTCGGGCAGAAGATATAGGACGAGCTGCGTCCAACTAGGCCGTCCTGACGACGCGAAAAAGTTGCAGAAACTAGTTCAAATTACGTCATATTAGCCAATAGTGTAAGTGTAGATATGAAATTTAAGATGGTATGACCTCCATTTTGGTCTCAACCTCCTTTCGCTGTATGAAAGATGTTTGACATCGTTTGAGCGACTTTCACATGTTGTCAGGGCGACCTAGATGAATGCAATTTGCCCGAAGACTTCTGCAATTTTAGTCACTTGGGAATGTATCAGGTCCGTTGTCCGAAGCTATAAAGTATCATGATTATGCATAAAAACGGATTTGGGGCAAAGTGTGTCCAACTGGGTCACCCTGACAACGAGACCAAATTGCGGAAATAAGATCAGAAAACATCTATGATATTAATAATAATGAACTATAGAAGAAGTAGGCCTTACTCATAGCTAATCCATGTACCATTATCCTGTTGTTCTTAGCTTCATCTGATGAGATTTCGGAAGGCACTTCTGGCGAACCAGCCCCAGATCGACTTGAGGTGGTCAATTTGCTTGATCCGCCAACTGAGTTTGTCAAGCAGTCGTCCGACTCCATCGAACCAAGTAGGACACATTTAGACAAAGACCGAGCTCGAGAACACGACAGGAACCAACGCATCCGAGTCCGTCTCTCAGTGAACGAGCGGCCAGGCTATCCCATCCTGAGTGCCCGAGCGGAAGACGCCGATGACTCAGACCGTGGTCTTTTGCGCTATGCATGGGAGCCTGCGTTCGAGCCCCGGCCGGGCCGGGGCTCCCATGGTGCTGTTTGGGGTCAGACGAGTGAGCATAATGGAATGCTGCAACGCAAAACGACGGACGAGGCTGATGAGTACAAAAGGGGAGAGAAGAGACATCGGAAAAAGCTGGCGGACCAGGGACAGGTGGAGGAGAAGGGAGACCAAGCAAGTGAAGAGGAGAAAAAAGATGATGACGAAGAGATGAATGGAAGCGAGGACTCTCTACAACAATCCTACTTTGGAGAGAAACTGGAGTCGTCGTTGGAAGACGGAGAGGCAGAGACTGCGAGAGGGCAACATGGCCAACTGCCAGATGGGACGTTCAGTATGGAGGAGGATACGGGAGTTTTGCGCTTGATGCGACCTCTGCGGCCCGAAGAAGCTGCAACCAACTATCTGGTCATGCTGTTGGTACGCGATTCTGGTCAACCTCCGAGAAGTGCACAAAAGGTGAGTTTACGTGTGGTAGGACATGGTGGGTAGAAAGAAGATGGATCTTCGTCTCTCTGCAGTTCTCTGGGATAAAGTCAAGAGGACTCGATCTTGTAAATACACATTAAAGTCGATTCTCAATTAACAAGCATTAATATCATCCTATTTTCGGCTGAAAGTGGATGATAAAGAACTTCGTTGGTCGATCCCATAAGAATAAGAAAATGGATTCCTTTTAATCTTCTTTCTTTATAGTTCGCCTGGCAAGATCCGGTTTAGCTTGTCCTCGCAAAACCATTTATTCTTCCGTTTAGTTCACTCGAGAATTATCATTTTGTATGGATGTCATTTTTTGA